GGGTTGACTTTATTTTCTCAGTCGCTTCTCTGTGGGGAGGGGACATGGCTGTCAGGCTTATGTTCCTATAACCACACACAAAGGAGAGTAGAGAGTTTTTCCCATTAGCTCCAGCTAGGAAAGAAGAAAAATCCCCAGGTGGCCTATCTTGAATCATGTGCCTGATCAATAAATGTGTGTGTCATGTGTGTATGTGTGAAGTGCTGTAGTTGGCTCAGCCTGGGTTGAATGCCCAGCCACACCTGCAGGATGGGAGAGGTTAGCTGCCAAGAGAACCTTGTGGGTGGAAGGGGTGAAGAGGATTTCCCTCAAGGAAGGGGGTCCTATTTGCAAAGAAAGCTGCTGGGCAACTTTTAAAAAGCTCTCCCCTTGCATTGTTCCATTTATAAATATTCTTAAGTATAAAGCAAATGGATGAGACTGCTATGCAGCAGGGAACTTGTTCCTGGTGTTGTTAAACTGGCTTTCAGAAAGCATTCTGAATCTCTCCTATAAAACCTGACAGATATCAATAAACACTGGACCTTTTTACTTTAGTTTGGGCTAGTCCTGAAGAAGATAGCTCTGCTCACCTAATGAGGGCTGGTGTGCCCGCCCTGCCAGCTCTTCTCTCTCTGCCTCATGAGCTTTTCTGTCTCCCCTGCTGGACTTGGGGTCCAAGGGGGTAAGACCTATGTCTCATTCCTAGTTGTCTTCCTAACACATGGCGCAGAACTTGGCTCATAGCTGATGCTCAAGGAATGTTTATCAGGGGAATCAGTGAATAACAATGACTAGACCAACAGCAAAATTGATAGACCCCGAATTTAGTGCTGTCATCCTATGTGGGACCACACCCTAAAGCTGTCTGCATTGCCGGCTAGTCCATTGGTGGGAAACTAATCAAGCATTGAGAACAGAGGCCTGGCATTGCTGCATGTACCTCGCACATGGATCCAAATGCATATTCACATGAGCCCACATGCATGATTAACTTGGGAAGCTGACAGGAAGCAGTCAATCTGTTGAGCAAGTTTGTGTTTTATAAACCAGATGTTCAGTATTATTATTCATCATTTCCTTTGATACCAGAACAGTCTCCATTATGTAGCATAGGAAATGAAGGATATGGAATAATATACACTTATTATACAATAAAGCACCACAACCAAGCGTTTCAGAGGCCTGTTCAAAGCCTGGGCAAGTGTAATTGAATGGCAGTTCATTTTAGGATTCCCACTTGGACTTAAGTTAATGGGATTTTGCCCAGATGGACCATGGTGACCCCCCTCTCCCATTCCTACCCTTTGGAAAATGAATGTTGACTCTACGTCTGCGTTTTTCTTGGAAGCCACGTGTATGAATCATAAGCAGCATTCTTGCCTCAGCAGCCGCTACAGGTTAGGGGGCCATGGAAAAGCAGGGACCCCCTTGTGTGTGGGGACAGAGGGTGTCTGGCCGTGGTTGGCTGCATAACTTCTGCTTGGTGGTCTGGAAGAAAACTTCTGCCACTGGCTGCTATTTCCTATGGCAGGAGTACAAAATGCCTTTCAATCATAAAGTGCTTACAGTGCAAATTAACTTTCAAATTGATGTTCCTTCTCCATGAAATGTTTAAGATTCACAGCACCCAGACCTGTGGATACTAGGAAACATAGAGCTGCTTGGTGCAGAAGAGCATCTTAATGTTGTCCAAGTGATATTTCCGGGGTCTTGCCAGCCCTCATGGCCATACTGATGAGCTGGTGTACATTAGGAAGGCTACAGGTGAGGGTTCTGGCCAAGTCAGTCCAAATCTGGAAGAGAACTGCCACTAGGAGAGGGGTGTGTAAGCTCATAGCATAGTGCCCTGACAGAGCTCACCATTTTTCCTTTGTTTACTGGCGGCTGGTTACAAATGAGTGGTTTCAGTACAAATGCAATATTATGGGGATTTTTTTTTTAAGTAATGATGCAGTAATTACATTTGGAATTAGCCCCTGAGTGAAGTTGATACTATATTCTGGCTTAACATTTGGAAGTTAGTTTCCTATGATCTTGTGTTTGTGCCAGGATAATTACCAGTGATTTATAACTAATTTTTACTGGTTGCAGGAAAAAAACTTCATTTCTCATTATTGTCAATGGTATGTTTTTATTTCATCCATGATACATGTTGGCATTGCTTGAAATTTTGATTTGACTTGCAAAGTGGAAGTTGCCCAGGGTTATGGATCAGCTCACATCAGTTTTCTGTATAGCATTAAGGATTAATCAAGTAGTCAGAATATGGGAAGAGTTCTGGTTCTAAGATGTTCACCATGGGTTGGTTCTGCTTGTGGAAATGGCCTTGCATGCCCCCAATGGTGGCCATAGTATACTTTAAATATTTTTAGTAAGATGTTGGAACTACGTTTCCATAAACTGTTATATGTTGGTTAACTTGGTTCCTGGCAACAATAACTGCCAACTTCATTTCATAGTTAATATTATTTGGTTATTAATATTATGATAAAGTAAGTTTGTTTACTGACTCTAATACCCAAATTAGACTGCCCCAAATAATGTATGTGATTATCATGTGTATAAGTCAGGGCTCTTTAGAAAAAAGAACCATAGGAGACAAATATAGATATAGATATATAGATACAAACACATAGGATAGAGATATATATTTGAAGAGAGAGATTTAAGTAATTGCCTCACACAATTGTGAGGGCTTGTAAGTCTGAAATCTGTAAGGTAGGTTGCAGGTTGGAAATTCCAGCAAGAGTTGATGTTACAGTCCTGAGACCAAAGGCAGTCTGAAAACAGAATTCCTTTTTCCTTGGGGATCTGTTTTTTCCCTTAAGGTCTTCAACTGATTGGATGAGGCCCACCCCCTTATGGAGGGTAATCTGCTTTATCAAAGTCTACTGATTAAATGTTAATCACAACTAAAAAATGCCTTCACAGCAACATCTTGACTGGTGTTTGATCAAACAACTTGGCATCTTGGCCTGGCCAAGCTGACACATAAAATTAACCATCGCACCATGAATTCCCAGTCCTTGAGGGACCATGAGATTCTTGCCTCGTCTTACTTGTCATGGAGGGGATATAGCATCATCTTGATATAGATGTAAAACTAGGGGCTGGCCCGGTGGCACAGCAGTTAAGCTCGCACATTCTGCTTCAGCGGCCCAGGGTTCGCCGGTTCAGATCCCTGGTGTGGACATGGCACTGCTGGGTGAGCTATGCTGTGGCAGGCATCCCACATAAAAAAAAAAAGTAGAGGAAGATAGGCATGGATGTTAGCTCAGGGCCAGTCTTCCTCAGCAAAAAGAGGAGGATTGGCAGCAAATGTTAGCTCAGGGCTAATCTTCCTCAAAAAAACAAACAACAAAAGCTAATAAAAACATGGCCGCCTTGATGCCTGTTAGGAGTTACTCCCAAAATCTGTGAACTTCTCTTTAAGTACCATGATTATTGATGGATATGAAGTGGAAAGGATTGCCCTATAACAATGCTTCTTGAATTTTAATATGCATGCTAATTATTAAAATAAAGATTCAGAGGGTCTGGAGTGTGGGGCTTGGGATTATGCATTTCTGATGCACTCAGGGCTGCAGGTGCTGCTGTTCTGTGTACCACATTACCAGGAGTCATGCCCTAGAGCTTGAAGAATCCATTGGAAGAAAAGATTGGTGGAAGATGGACTGTCTTTAATGACTTTTTACTCAAGAGGCAAGCCAGTCCATGGGGGCTTCAAAGATTTAGATTTTAGGATCTTCTCTTTATAATACCTTTTCCCAAGAAGACTGAGGGAGCAGTACTTGATTTTTCTATGGAAATAAAGTAGTGCCAAAACATCAGAAAACACTCTAGACTGAAGATAGTGGATTCTCATCACAGATTGCTTCATTTGAGACTTGAATGGGCAATGAAACCAGGAAGTATCCCTCTCCCACTAGACTTGCCAGGCCAATTTTGGTGTCTATCAGCAGTGCCACATGCCTTGATCTCATTTTGGATGCTGCTATGGTCTAGCTGTGTGACTCACAAGGCAGGGAGAGGAAACTAACATCCTTTGAGCATCTTCATATGCCAGGTGCCATACTAGGCAGTTTCACATTCTATCTTCATGGCAACAATGCTGGGGAAAAATTGGCATTGTTTTATATGAGGATATGAAGGCTTAGCTTATGCAGTTAATAAAGATTCAAAGCTGAGAATTAGAACCAGATTTGTCTCAAACTAAAGCCCACTGTGGTCTAGGACTCTGTTTCCCCATTCATTATTGGGGCAGAGAAGGGGTTCCTGCTGTCTCCCAACACTGTGCGAAAAGCAAATGTGATGGAGGGTCTCGGTGCATCTCTATGCAAGTCAAAGGGTTACAGAAGAGTACCACGTGCCATACTTCAAGGTCGTTCTTCCAGGAGACATGTTTAGCTTCTTAGCGGTGATTTTAGGGATCAGATGCCGAGTTATTTTTTTTATTTTGTTTTTGTTTTGTTTGTTTTCCATCTGGGACTGGCATGCAGAGATCTGTAGAGGTCCAAAAAGGCCTTGACTCAGCTACCTTGGGGAGAATAAGTGCTTCCAGATTCCATTGTTTCCAGCAAGGCAATTCATAAAACCCCTTACACTCATGCTTTCTGATCTTCAATTTTCAGATTAAGGAGAAGCATTAATATTGCACATATTGAACATAAATGTCTGCAAAGTAAAATAGTAAAATCAATCTGCGGTAATAAAATAAAACGAATCACTAAGATCCAAACAAGGCTTTATTTGAACCAAAATGGCTGAATGCGGTGAACAGATCAGCTGGCATGACTGATGGTGGCCGACTTTGTTTCTCCTGCCTGGGGCTGGGATCCTCATCTGCTAATCAAGAGGGAGGGACATTGCCCTCCGTCCTAGGCTAAAGGCTTGAGTGGGCACTGGTCCATTCCCAATGGCCCCTGGTCAGGAAAGGATGAGACGGTCAAGGGGGATGGCCTCCAGCACTGTGGTTTCTAGATCATTCTCAGGTAACTGGCCTTTCTCTCTCTATCCAGCTTGCTGATGATCAGGGCCTTGTCCTCATGACCACGGTCGCCATGCCCGTGTTTAGTAAGCAGAATGAAACCGTGAGTACAGTGGCTGTGCCTCCTGCTTGATGACAGGAACACTGTTTTCTCAGACCCCCTCTGACTCAAGCTCTAGTGACCTTTATTGATTTATTTGCTTATTCTAAGGATAGGGGGCATGTAATTTTTCCTCACTTTTAATCCTGCTGTCAGAATGATGAAATCAAGAATAGATGAGAGGAATTCAAGCCAGTATCATTTTATAGTATGCAACACTTTTCCAAAATTGAAGTGTTAATTGAGCAAAGGGAGGAAAACTGCAGAAAGAATTCTTGATTGTGGTGGGATGTCCTTTCTCTTATTTATAGTTACCAGCCTTGTATTAGTTTCCTCTGGCTGTAGTAAACAAAGTGCCACAGATGAGGTGGCTTGAAATAATAGAAATTTATTCTCACAGTTCCAGACACTAGAAGTCCAAAATCAAGGCATCGGCAGGTCCATGCTTCCCCTGAAGGCTCTGGGAAGAATCCTTCCTTGCCTCTTCCAGTGGCCCCAGACGTTCCTTGGTTTGTGATAGGGTAACTCCAATCTCTCCCTCAGTTTTCACATGGCCTTCTTCTCTCACGTGTCTGTCTGTCTTCTCCTTGTCTTATAAAGACACCAGCCATTGGATATAAGGCCCATCCTAAATCCAAGATGATTTCACCTTGAGATCCTCAACGTATTACATCTGCAAAGACCTTATTTCCAAATAGGGTCACAGTCTGAGGTTCTGGGTGCCCTTGAATTTGAGGGAGACAATGGACAGTAGCAATGTGTATCTTCTTCTGGAAAGCATTTCTGACATGAAACTTCTGGAAAGTTGCAGCACATCACGTTGACCCCGGAAAAGTGGGACACCAGAAGCCTATTCCTTCACCTTCATCCTTGGTTCCAACTTGCTGCTATAAATGTTAGGGTTTCATGTCTTTCTCTGGCTATTCAGTCTCTCTCTCCCCCAGGCACCAGATGGCAGTGTAAATTGAGAAAGTGGTTAACATGCCAAGTCTTTCCTGTAGAAAGCTTCCATGAGAGAAACTGATTAATGATCACAGTCGTTAGCTTCTTCACATCAATTCTTGATTCTCAGGAGAGAAGGATTGTTTGGCCTCAGAAGCTACCCTTCTTGTCATCAGTATTTTGGGGCGGGGGTGGGGGGTGGGTAGAAGAGTGTCCCTCTTGGAGATCTGGGTTAATCTTCAATCTCTATCTGCTTGGAGAAGGCACCAGACAGTGATCTACGGTGTGTGGCTTCTCACGAGGTTCTATTTCTTCTACCAAATTAACTTACTATTGTTGCTCTTGTTTAATGTTTGTTTTCAACAGAGATCAAAAGGCATTCTTCTGGGCGTGGTTGGCACAGATGTCCCAGTGAAAGAACTTCTGAAGACCATTCCCAAATACAAGGTAACATGTCTCCTGACTAATAGCCAAGGGCCAAATGTCCAAGATAATTTCACAGCCTCCCACAGTGACGATGAAAACAGGAAGTAAAGAGGCTCGTCTCCTCTCTTTCTGTTGGTAGAAAAGTAATAGTCCGTGCAGGTCTAAGTAGGTCTGTGCATCCTACCCAGGTTTGTGTGGGCCCGTGGAAGTCTACACACATCTAGGTGGGTCTACATAGGTAATGTCTCTGATGGTCTTCTAAGCCAGTTCTAACTCACCCAGTTGAGAACCCTCTAAAATCTGTTACTTCTTAACAGGAACCCAATGAGGCACAAAGAAAAATGGTCTCTGACTCTATTAAATGGGTATTTTCTCTATCTTGGAAGGTGCCAGGGTACAAATTAATATTCCTTTCCTAATGCTAAATTAAAATCCATGGCACTGAGAGAATTGTAAGTTTTGTTTTTTTAAGTCTTGGGGTAATTGATGGGTAGAGTAGGTAATTTTAGAAGAAAGAAGATAGAGCAGGCCTTAATAGGCCACTGCTTTGGGAGTTTAGAACAACATAAGGGGCATTGTAAGGTATGGCTCCTTGGAAAAGGAACATGAGATTGAAAGGATTCAGAAAGGAGGGTGGAAATGCTAGAACCCAGCTCTGCATGTGAGGCCAGCTTTGCAAAAGGGAGAGAGAGAGGTCATGCTTTCCCCTCTATCTGGCTCACACTGTATTCCTAGCACTCTGCTCCCAGCACTACTCCTTCAATTTATTTAGTTCTCCTATATTTGGGGACAGAGAAACTGTCATGGGCCATCCCAGTGCCACCCACAGCTAGGCCTAACCCTGTTTCCATGAGAACAAGCATCCCAAGTTCCACGTGACTTCCCTGTGGTCTGTCTGGGGCCAGGCGGGCATAACATGAGCACCAGCCCGAAGCTGACAGACCACAGTGCTGCCTGGGCTGCTTGCAGAGGGATGGCAAGTAGCTCCGAAGGTGATGTGGTGGCAGTAGCCATTTTGGCATCCATAGGGATGACATTAATTGGTATTTATGTTCTCTGGCTGCTTGAGATCTGCTGATGTGGTAAATAAGTACTTTAATGAAATCAGAGCAACAGACATACCAGGAGCCTGGTTTCCACCAAAGTCAGGTTTCCTACTCCCCTTCCTTCTGAGCAGTGTTGTCCACGTCAGCCTTTTGCTTACCACCCTCATAATGCATTGCCTTGTCCTTATGCCACCTGCACAGTTACCGAACAGGTCTGTTTAAATTTAAATTGACTTGCTATTTTTCTTCATCATCTCCTCTGACCTCGGCCTGAACAGTCACATGTGAAATGATAAGTTGAGATGTGATCATTATATTTTTCTGATACACGGGTTAGCCGGAGGAGTGACATGATCAGGTTCTACTTTTAGAAAGATGGCCCAGAGAGTGCTTGAACCCATGCAGAAAACTCTCACCTGTTCCCTAGTGGGGATCCTCATAAAGCAAATGAAAAGGTGGGGAGACAGTCCCCTTAAGCCCTGTCACAGCCGTGCAGAACTGCCCCAGAGCCGTTGCAATGTGTGTGTTGAGCACGGGAGTGCGGGAGGGTGGAAAGCAGCCCCTGCTCCCTGATAAGAGGGGTTCAATGGACCAACGTGTTGCCCCTGACTGCACAAGGGTTGAAATTACACCCATCCCCTCTTCCTCCAGCACCGAGCAGACTGGCTCTCCCATCTCCATTTTGGGCCCGCTCGTAGATTGACGAGGACTCCCTCTGTCCCCATCTGGAGGGAGTCCAGGAATCTGAGATTGTTGGCGGGCTGGCAGGGCCCCGTTCCTTGCCACCTCCTTCCCTCATGTGCTGAGCCTGATTCATCACAGTTGCGAGAAGCCCATGGGCCTTCCTGGGCCTCAGCAGGAGAAAGGCAGTGGTTAGTGCTCTGGAGGCAGACACACCTGGGGTCCAGGCTCCATCCTGAGGAGCTGGGTGTGGACAAGTCCCTCAAATCCTTAGTTCCCTTTCTGCCCAGTGGTGATAACAATAGAACCGGTTTATAGATTTAATGAAGTGTTGACCCTTATCATTAATTGGGAGCAATGGTAATGCACTGGTCAAGAGGACAAGTGTGACCCGTGGCCTCCTGGTACCTACAGTCCTCTTCCACAGGGGATGCTGCCTGCATAGAGCTGTTGACAGCTTTCCCATGCCAGGTTCAGGCACCTGTGGGCTTCCCGTCCTCTGAACCTTTGCTAACCTAGAATGCCTAACAGAACGATGGGCTGACTGAATGACTGACCAGGCAACCACACGCTGGGACCCTCTACCACCTTTAAAAATGGGGTTTTTCAAGAGTTTTGAAAGACATGGGGAAAGGCTTATGATACAAGGATATGTGCATTAGGCAGTATTCTTAAGTTTGACGACAAGGACAGGCCCATCTTTTGACAAGCGGTTGGGATAAGAGCAAGGGAATGGATCAGCCATTCCCCAGGCAAACTCTTATCCATGCCAGTCACTGAACGGACAGCTGTAGCCAAAATGATCAGGTCACTCCTAGAGGGTTGGATACAAAATGAGAGGTGCAGAAAACAGCTGTTTGAAAAGCATCATTCTGTGGTACAAGACAGGGTGCCTCACGGTGTAATATTAACAGATGACGTTGGCCGAGTACTCAGGCACTGTGCACAGTGGGTTACCCACATCATGTTACCAAACCCTCCTCAGATAAATGCAGTGCTGCTGTATCCATTCTGCTCATAGGAGACTCAGTTTCACAGGGCTCAGGGCCACATAAGGAGGAAGTGGTGAAGGCAATTTGAGCCAGGTCCATGTAACTCCTAGGCTTAGGTGCTTAGGACAGATCTCAGCTGTGCCCATACTATGCATGACGTGGTACCCTGTTCATGCACCATCTGTACCATTAACTACTTAATACTTCATTTGTAAATCAACTCAGACCTTTCTTCACTTAACTACATTTTTACAGGAAACACCATCACTATTTAAAAAGAAAAGCCAGTGTCATTTGCCATTATGGAAGATAATTGTAAAAAGAAACTCATAAAAACAAAATAATAGTACTAAATGATTACTTGATAATCTAAGGTTCTGAACTTAAGGTCTGTTCTCACTCTCTTTTTTTTTAAGGTAGTATTAAAGGCAAGTGTTAAGGAAACTTTCTTTTTGATGTAATTGGAAGGATGAAAGGAGTTTTTTTTTTTTAAAAGATTGGCACCTGAGCTAACAACTGTTGCCAATCTTTTTTTTTTTTCCTTCTGCTTTTTCTCCCCAAATCCCCCCAGTACATGGTTGTATATTTTAGTTGTGGATCCTTCTAGTTGTAGCATGTGGGATGCTGTCTCAGCATGGCCTGATGTGTGGCACCATGTCCGCGCCCAGGATCCGAACCTGTGAGACCCTGGGCCGCCGAGGTGGAGCACGCGAACTTAACCACTCAACCATGGGGCCGGCCCCTGAAAGGAGTTTTAAAGGAGCTGACTCTCACTAGTGCTTCTGGCTAATAAGTTTAATGCCAGGCCCATATGCCACCTAAAATTGTCTTCCTCTACACTCTGTTTTTCCTAAGAAAGCCAAACAGTCCATGGGAAGATGATGGGGGCTGAGGAGTGAGGGTCATGAAGGATTGTTCAGTCTGGGGTGGTGGGTACCCCTGCCTTCTGGGGCTCCCCTCAACCCTGGATTAGCATCATCACTGCCATCCATAAGCCCCTGCTGCACCTCCACCTGTCGGCCCAGGCTTCTCAGAGACCCCTGAGGGTTTGGCTCTTCCCAGCACTTCCTGTCTGGTCCTTAGTACCTGCTCTACCGGTGGAAAAGGAAACTTCTTCAACAAGCCCGGATGTCTGTTTCCATATGCTGATGCCTTTAGGTGATCCAGTTAGAAAGCCACCTGCACAACAAAAGGAAATGAACTTTGAGCTAAAATCAGGTGTCCAGGCTCAGAAAAGGTGGCCTCCTTAGCAAAAGAACTCTCCTATTCTGGTTTATTGAGATGACAAAGGCCCTTCTCCCTCCTGCCACCCTGGGGCCCTGATGACCAGCTTCATCCACCACCAAAGGCTTTTACAGTTGGAGTTAAGTGTCCAGAGGCATGAGAAGACTTCTGGTTGATCCCGCCTTTTTTAAATTTTTTGAGAAATCTCTGTATTGTTTTCCCTACTGGCTGCACCATACTGGCAGCAGTGCTGGAAACTGTGTAGCTGCCCAGGGACTGAAAGTCAAGGGGATGAGGAAGGAATTCAAGGCCCTAAAGACAGTGGACTATACTTGTATTCAAATCCCCAGACCTAGACGCCCAGAATTGCTGGCACACTCTTTAAGGAAGAACCTTCCACATTTAGAGAATGCTTCCAAACAATTCTTAAGCCTCTTATTTCATATGAAAAGATGTAGAAACCCAGGACAGGGCCACTTTTTGATATATGCCCAGTAAATCAGGAAAGTATGAACATAATGTGGAACTGATAGCAATTACCCTGTGAGTCTGTTTCTCAAAGATTCTGCTACCAGGCAATGTGCTAAGCTCTTTATAGTATTATCTCACTTAATAATAGGTAGACACTGCTATTATGCCCATTTTACAGCTAAAGAAACTGAGGCACAGAAAGTTTAAATATCTCACCAAGCCTCACAATTAGCAAGCCATGATTTTAGCTGCTATTACCCCAAAGCCATTAGGAAAATAAGTGACAATAATAACAGTAATAGTTAAAATATTAGGAATAATAGTAATATTAAAATAAAATGAAACAAAAATCACTTATTGAACTTTTTACTGTGAGTTTGGTAAAAGCGTTTTATACGTACTATTCCCATTGAACCCTGATTATGCTTCCAGGAAGTGGGCACCTCTTGGCCCAGTTTTAGTTAAGGATACTTGAAATAATTTTCTCAACATAAGTCAGCTAGTAAAAGATGAATGAAACAAAGTGTAACAAGCGAATAGAGAAAGATCAGCTACAGAAAATGAACCATCAGTGCCTGAAATATAGGCACTTCTGTTTTACGTTTTCCCGAGAGTCAGGTTGGGAACCGGAGACACAGGTATGACATACCTTAACCTCAGTCATCCCTCCTCTGGTGCCCACACAGAGCCTTGGGAAGAGGTGTGCCGTCAGCCAGGGCCGGCCATGGCCGGACGAGCCTTTCTGGTTCAGGAGGGGAGCACGCCAGGGAGCAGAGTGTGGCTCAGACCTTTCCCTCCTGATTAACACCTTGTAAAGATGAGTCAGCTCTTGGCTCTTGGGGTTTTCCCAGAAGATAGAATTCTTTCTTTTCCCTTAGCTTCATAGATTTTCCCACAAGCAATCAGACTTCCTGTAATTTTTATTAAGAATTCCAGACACCCCAGCAATAATTTCCAGACACCACAGCCTCTGTTTAACGTAACGAGCCATTTTATAATTAGGTTCACTTCATTAGCCCAAAGTCTCTACGCTTGGAAGGGAAGCGCCTCCTTCCCTTCCCTGTTAGACCTCGAGGCTCCTGGCCTCCCGGAGAGCCTGATTCAGGAGGAGGGCCCCTTTGGCAGCCCCAAGTGCTAGGAGGCCTCGTGTCTGCTCTGTTCTCTGTTACTCCACGGCACTGCACATTAGAATGGACAGGAAGACTGGCTCTATTTCGGATGAAACAAAAATTAGAGATTTCATCAGTATATTGATTTGTGGCCAAAACCAAATGTTGGACATTGTCATAGTATAAGCTTTGGGTTTTCTGAGAGATTCATCCACTGAACGTGTTTTGAGATTTGCCCAGAGTTTCTCTTCTTACATCTACATTGGGTTGTATCCGTATGCCACCAGCAACCAACAGCACATTCTGATGTTACTTTCTCAGACTGTTCTCCTGGGAAGGATTTTAGCCAGACAGTTCCGGAATGTGGGGAAGACTTTCTCTGGCACAGCCTTGAGAAGGACTAACTAGGCACCTGCCATAGCAAACCAGCTTCTCCTTTTCAGCTCATTTCTTATATTTACTTTAGTTCAGACTTTAAAGATGAACTAGATAATATTTGGGTAAAGTGATAAATGTCTTAAATATACACAAAGCTTTACTGGAGCACCTGCCATGTGCTGACATGATGCTAGGGACTACACAGGTCAAAGATGAGCGAGTTGGTTCCTTCCGCACGAAGAATACAATCTGATGGGAGAGGTACTGCCTTATCTAGAATGAGGCAGAGGAAGGAAAGAGAAGCAGCTGCAGTTGAGATGCAGGAAAGAAGGTATAGCATTTTCATGCATTAGGGCAAAAGTGGTCATGGAAAAATTCTCAGGGTTTTATGGAAATCTGCAATGGAAAGGAGGGAGCAACGGGGAGAGTCAGGACAGACTTTTTGTAGGAGGCGATCCTGAGGCTGAGCTTACAGCATGAGTGAGAATTAGCCAAGGGGAGATGGGAAGGGTGGTGCTCTCGGCAACTGGCACTCGGTGAGTAAAGGTCTGGTGGGAAGAGAAAACTGAAGTGGAGTTGTTGTGGCTGCCATGTGCCCTGAAAGGCAGTGAGTGAAAGTAGGTGGGGCTGAGTACTTAGGTACTGGGGCCAGCCCCCAGAGAGACCTAATGGACAGGACCATGGATTTTATCTTACACATGAAAGAGGCCTTTAGTGGGTTTTACACAGGAGAGCAGCAGGGTCAGCGTTACCTTTGACTTTGATCAATCTGGAGGATGACTTTGTTAGGGCCAAGCTTTGAGGCAGGAAGAGCAGTTAGGACCATTGTGGAACTCTGTTCCATTAAATCTCCATGGATGGTAGAGTGGGGAAGCAGAGTTTAATCTGAGTAATTTGTGGAAGAAAAATTAGTGAATACTTGGCTCAAGAAGTTGAGGATGAAAGAGAGAAAGAAGTCTAAGGATGATGCTCTAGTTTCTAACTTAGGAGTCTGGGTGGGTGGTAGTGGCACTGATGGAGAGAGAGAAGAATGGGAAGAGCAGCCCTAAGTTGAGGTGCCATGTTGGGCTGGGTGAATCTGAGGCACCTGAGGGAAGTCCAAATAGAGGGACCGACACACACTTGGGGACTTGGATTAGCCACTGAGGGGAGAGGCCAAAGCTGGAGCACAGATCTGGAGATGAGCAGCACCCAGGCAGTTGCTGATACTTTTGAGGAAGAGAGAGTAAGATAGACAAGGGGCAGGAGGGATATAAACTCAGGGAAACGAGTGCTTGAGGGTAGGTGGAGGATGAGGATACTATGAAAAGGAGGAAACCCTGGAGTATGGGGCCTGGAAGCTGAGGGAGTAGAGTGTCAAGGAGGAGGGGGAAGTCAGCTAATACAGGCAGGAGGATTCGAGAGAGACCTCTCCAAGGGTTTGGCAGTTAGGAGGCCACAGGCAATTGCAGAGAAAGGAGTTCTGATGGCATCTAGGTGGGGGGGTGATATGGCCACGGCAGATTCTGGTAGGCTGAGGCATAGATGGGCAACAAGGAAGCAGAGATTGCAGTTGAACAATGAGTGGAGGACCCTGAGTGGGAAGGTCAGCTCAGCCTCTGCATGCCAGAGGAGGAAGCAAAGTTTGGGTTAGCTTTGTAGGATCTGTGCTCAAGTCAGTTTCTTTGATTGTTTCCCCGCTTCCTGCTTTTCCTCTTTCTCCTTTCCCTACTCCTCTTCCCTCCATCCCCATCGCCATATATTTTTAACCACATAGTATAACCTTGGCCATCATGGAACTTATATTCTGGTGGGGAGGCAAGCATTAAATAACAAAGCCTTGACTGATGCCTTGATTATTTATAATCAATCTCACAAATAATTGATTATTATCATTTTGATAAGTGCTGTACCAGAAAAGTAGAGGGCATTAAGGGAGCATAACCAGGGAGCTCTATCTTCTTTTGAGCATTACTTCCTGCAAGCAAACCAAGAACAGAAGTAATGTGTATTAGAAGGCACTGAATATATTAGCTGACTATAAAATATCATTTGTTTGGTCTAATTTTGAGTTCGAATTTCCAGTCAAATACCACTTTTGCCTTTAATGGAAAAAGTGAAACTTTCTAAGTCCTTTTTGACCCCTCCAGTCCGTATTAAACTGGGACATAATAATGATAATTAATGCAGTGTTGACTGTGTCTGACATTTTTCCAAGGGACAAGATGAAAGAGACGATATTCATCTCAAAGGATAGGAAATCTCTGGTTTATCTTTCACAGCATAATGAAATATACTTTTATCATTAGAGTCAAGTAGAATCTTATTAAGACTTGCCGTGCAAGGTAACTCCAGGAGAAAATGTCTGTTGCCCTTGACTACCACGTGCATATTTGCTTTATGTAATGCAAGGAAACTTTTAATTGCCGGTGTTAAATTCTCTGAAGTTAATTTCACATCACCTTGACGTTAAGCTAACAAGCAGACGGGGTCATTCTTGGTTTGTAAATTCTGTTGTCTGGATCATTTAATAGTATCATATTCAAGAACATGAGCGGCAGACAATTTTAAAGAAAAGTAGCAGTGAGAGCTCAGAACTGTGAAATAACTCATCGGAAAAAAAAAGAGGATTTTTTTTCTTCTCCCCTTTCACTGCTCTGGCAAAAGTGGGTTACATTTTCTTTCTTCAGAGAGAGAGATCAGTATGGGTTTTATGCCAGAGGCCATTTAATACATGAATGATTTGTAGGTAAATTTATTGTAGCCAATGGGTGCAGTCAACTGTGTAATAGAAATATTGTCAAAAAGCCGGGATTATTATTTAAATAAGTGCAGTGTTAAATTTGATTACATACTTTTTAAAGCTAATAAAACATTTCATTGCTCTCAAACTATTTCCCATAGTCCCATTTAGTCAGAAAACATAAATTAAGTGAGGCCCTGCATAGAAAATTACCCAGGCTTTGTGTCGATGGAAGCATGCATGGAAAAGCTTGGCAGCCTCACAATTTAAAGACGAAAGAATATAAAAGGGGTTGGCAGGCTCCTATATGGGCTGGTGGGGACACTTTCATCCTTGAAGAATTATGGAAAATGACTGCCTAGGAGAGCGCATGCTTGAGATGGCCCCTATGGGTGTAGAATTGTAGGCAGCCTAGATGTGAGTCCAAGTGAGGCCCCCCCTTTCTTTATCACAGAGAGAGAAGACACCCAGGTGGATAAAATCCTGTTCGCTTGGACTTAGACTCTTTCCAGAAACATTGGCCACTTTCTTTTTTTTTTTTTAAATGTAATTGTTTTCATTTAAAATAAATCAGAGTAAGGCCTTTGGATGCCAACGTGGGGATGTGACATTTTAAATTGTGCTATTTGCTGAGCTTATCCTGTGACAGGTCTTCATTTCCAACCAAATGTCAAGGATCAGCGTCTTGCATTCATTTTAATGAAATATTGTGCTGATAAGGGTTATGAATGCCAAGTTTAAGCTGTAAATTACTAAATGTCGGGCTGCTTTATGCTTCGTGAGTTCACTAGGGAGCAAGCTAATGAAGGTTTCTTTCTCACTTCTTCCTACAGTTAGGGATTCACGGTTATGCCTTTGCAATCACAAATAATGGATATATCCTGACGCATCCAGAACTCAGACCACTGGTAAGAGAAGTACTTAGTTCTGTGTTTCTCCTTTTATGATTTTAAAAGATTTTCTTTAGTTCCACAGTGATGACGCTTTACAGCAGTTTTCACTTTAAAAGCTCAATTCGTAGTATTTTCTACTAAAGCTTGTTTTAATAGTTTATAACTAGTATTTTGACTTACGATATATAAATAATGTAGGATAAATGTATTTACTATCATGCTTTTATATATAAATCCATATATATCTATATGCGTTTATTTCACATCTGCCAATATATGGAAAAAGTTTTTACTCTAGACAGCTTGAAACACATCATAATGGGTACCTTTATGTAACAAATAGTCTCTCACACTCCAACCTGAGACCCCCTTATTTCAAGTTACATTTGATAGAACCTATTAGTCACAGGATCCCTGGAAATTCATTACGGTGGGATTTGCCCCCAAATTGCATTGCCTAAGCCAGTGCCTCCTGCGTCGAAGGTATTCAACAATACCTTTTTTGTTTAACTGGAACAATTGAGATTTTCTCTATTTCCTACTTAAGCCATATCCAGTAGCATTGTTTGGTGACCTGACGTGTAAACCATTTTTGTCTAGCATCGTTTTCACTTTCTCTGAAGTGAGTGGGGTTGGGCCAAGTCCAGGAGAGCCCAGGGTATCATTGTCTACCCTGATCCCTGGGGAGAAGCTGCCTGGAGCATTGTGTTAAGGAGGATTCTGAGGGCAGCCAGGCTTGTTGGATAGGAGGCCCTGGTCCATTGGTAGTGTCTTCTGTGGACTCTGGAGGAGCATTGGGAGTGAGGGCCATGCATTTGCTATTCCTGGACTAGTCACAATCTGTTGAGAGAAGGACTCCCTTTGGGTTTGTGTGTGTTTAGCTAATTCTAAAGAAGATACAAAAGTATAAATAGTAATAGAGTAATGTTTGCCTTTGAAAGTTAAGAAAGTGTAGGTCATTTCCTATGGCAATCTAGACACATAGACACATTTTCACATGTACGCATCCACCCACCCCCCGTGTCTTTTTCCCTTTCATCAAAATTTAAAAAATGGTGGCGCTGCCTGCTATAGAAAGTTTATTGGTGAAGCATTGTGGGGACCAGTTTGCTTCTTGCTTGAATCATTGTTTAGGAAAAGTTCCGGTTTGAGCTTCATCACCATCCTACTTGCTGTAATCACCTTGGTATTAAGGGAGTCATGGCTGCATCATGTGGATCCCACATGCAGGCTTTAAGATGGTACTTACGGTAATGTTTGATTTCGAAAACCTTTTTATCAGAAAAATATTGAGTTAACTGATTAGCTAATTGCAAATGTAACTCAGAATTACTGAAAAATCTGATTGAAAAGTCTACTAACTTTTTAAGGATATTTATATCTAAAAACATTTAAGTCTAAAAAGCTTAGTGCATTACCCATTTTCAATCTGCCCGGTTGGGGGTGGTGGGAGTTACGTGTTTGGTGTGGCCGAGGGTGAGTTCCCAGTGCTTATTTATTCCAAGTTGGAGTGGAACAGAGTAAATGAAACAATCAAACCTGGATCTTTTGCCAGTGAATGAATTAGCTTTCTATTTATCAGCTTTTAAAGAAGGATGAAATGGAACCAGATGTCGGAAGTCACTAAGGTACCCTCCCTCTCTTTGCAGCAGTGGGTATGAGTAGCTCTCATCTGCATGGTCAACTTACAACCTTTTTCTGGTCTTTTGTATTGTCTAGTCATGTGGCAAATGACCTGTTTGCAAATAGTCCATCAGATGCACTTTCCAGAGCTGTAGCGACTGAGAGGGCAGCCGAAGGGTTCTTAGAGAAGCAGGCCAAGCAGTCAGCACTGATCATCTCCTGACAGTGCAAATACTCACAAACACAAGTTGTCTCTGTTCTTCTCACTGTTGAAACACTGCACTGAATGATTTCACCAAAAGTGGTAGCCAGGGTCAAGTTCCCATAAATGGGATGGCCCAAGCAAATGTGCCATATCTCACTTGTGAGAACCCAAACCAGATGAACCATTTTGCAATCGATCCATGATAAGAACATAAGGAATGGCTAGGCCAATGGGCATGTATCCCATTTGTCTGTCTCTGACCCTGAGGCCATGAGATATTTAGAAGAGGTTTGGAGTGATGCCAACCAATGAGGATTACATGAACTAACCCATCTGAATGTGATCAAAAAGTGGATGTTGACTCTGCCTTGCGTTTTTCATTTTCCTCCTGGGGAAAAGACGGTAGTAAAGTGGAAGGAACTAAACTTCAGCAACACGCGGGTTACACTTGACTCCTAGTCCTGCCATATCCCAGCTATATGACTTTGGGCAAGTCACACAGCCTCTCTGAGAATCATTTTCTATTATAATATTGCCATAACCATAGTGTATATGTCATAGCATGGTGGTCAGAGTAAATGGGATAATGCAAACAAAGAACCTTGTGTGACAAAGCAAGCCTGGACATCATGGGGATAGTCGTGGTTATACCGGTACCCTGTTTGTGTTTTGTTGGCCCTATCGATCTGTGCTCCGCTGCTGTAAAGGTTGGAAGTATGTGGAGGTGGTGGACGTGTACGGTGATCTAAAGAACACTTTTTGATTATTCAATCGGTTCACATTTTTATCATGAACATCACGAGGGAACATGTACACACACACACACACACGCACACAGACATGAGTGAATGGATACAGAGTCCTTGGAATCCTGCAGTCTGCATGCAATCGTAATTTCAGTCTGCCATCAACTTAAGCTGTGCAACCTCAGCTAAGCCTGTCTATCTGTCCCTCCCTTCTCTGTGTCTGTCTCTCTCTCACATGGGAAACACACACACACACATTGTCAGTTTTCTTGGCCAACTCTGGTCTAGAAGACAGAGAGACAACAACTGTACTGTGAGATTCTACGTGAGCCCTACCATGGGAGGAAACCAAAGTTTGTCGTCATTCGTTTTTAAAGCAGCAATGAGAAGAATACTAGAAGCCATAGTAACTGAAGAGTCGATCTACATGGATGGACTACTCCTGGCTCTGGCATGTACAAGTGATTTGTTCATCTCTGTTTTGTTGACCTGAACAACAGAAGCAGAAAGCTTTTTCCCTCCTTCTCCTTCACCACCAGTCCACTCAGCACATAGTAGGGACTCAGGAAATGAATGAATGAAGGGATCCTCCAAAGCCACTGTTTTCATTTTCACTTCCTTTGGGTCCTTCTGGAGAATGTAGCTTGTGAGCTTCTCCTGGAAACCTGGTGTCTGCACTGGAGACCGATCCTCCCTGGTCAGAACCACCCTCACACACAGCTAGGAACAGCGAGCTACCAGCAGCTTCCCTGGCTAGCAAATCGGGCAGGGACTCCTCATTCAGACCTGACTCACCTTCTCCCCAGCCCAGCTGTATAATCGAATTCTTATTACAAAGGGATGTTCCCCTCCATTCTGGCCAGGCTGCCAGATGAGCACGGTGTGTGTGAGTGTGGGGTTGTGGCCACCATGGGAGGATGGAGCAAGCTCACTTAAAATAATTCATGTTCCCTTTCCCTCTGCACTGAGGTTGTTTCTGCCCCTGCAGCCCGAGGAAAGAAGTGGGTTTCTCTGAAGCACAATACCAATATTTTTCTAATTTATCCAATAAAATCTTTCCCCCAAACTTAATCTTTGGCTTGATTTTATCCAGTATTTTCTTTAATCTTGTATGATTTGGGTGTGAATCATGAAGCGTCTCCAAGAACAGCTCAGATGTGGGAGCCTTACTCAGCAGACTCGCTTTGGTTTAATTGGCAAAACTGCTAACGTAATACTTTTCTGTTGATAACTGGGCTCTCCTTAGTCCTTCTCCGAGTGTTTCTCAACTACCCTATCCTTGCCACCAGCTTATGACTTCGGTGGACTAACTGACGTTCATTCAACAAACATTTACCTTGTGCCGGGTGTATGAGTCCCGTGTTAGGCTGGGGGCTGATGCAGCTATCTTCAGGGTGGTTGGGGACCACCTCATGAGTGGGGGCCAGAACCTATTCTCTGAGTGGAGAATGGAACAGGAGCACAGCAAGAGGGATTCAAGTTAGACCTTGAGGAATGCTTTTTGAGTAGTTATAAAACATCTGGAAATGTTTTCTTGGTCTCTATCATTCTTTAACCTTCAGGTTAAAAATATTTCAAAGTATAGTTGCTTATAGTTACTGTCAAGGTTGAATTTTCTTGCACTTTATTCTTCCTATGTCTTTGAGAGCTTTATAGATTTTTTTTTAAAATGTGGAACCCTGAATAAATCTCTTTTTCTTTTGCCCAACAGGGCATTGAGGGAGATAAGAGTGGGAAGGGGGCACCGTTAGCATAATCCAATTTTTGTTGAGATTTTGGTGATCCATCTGCCCCTCCTTCTTAGAAGAAAGGGACATCTAAGTTGACTTCCTCCCCCAAGGAGGCCTGGAATGTGGACCTGGTCAAACCACTGAGAGAACACAGAGAAGGCTCCCTTCCAGCAGCCACAGCACGGGCAGGGCTCCACGGAGGAGCCTGGGGCAGGCAAAATCTAGGACTTGTTTCCACGAAGCCTATGTTGACATCTGCCAAAAGCTGTTTGCTCTGTGTCTGCAAGCCCAGAGATGAGGAAGGATGCTGGAGGGTTTCTACTCTGGATGAAAATTTGGCAGTCACATGGGCCACTGGGTATGGTGGTCGATGAGATGGGAGGTGGGAATGATGGAGAGAAATCTTTGTTCATTCCTTCAACACTAGCTGGACATCCACTATGTTCTAGGCCTGAGCAAGCTACTTGGAGTGGTTACAGAGATGTGCCCTGCCTCAAAGAACTCTAAATCTCATAGGATGGATAAGGTTTTATATTTAGGGCACATAAGTAACTATACACACTGCTAGGGACGATGCGTATTTGTTTATTGGTGGTGGTGGTGGTGGTCTTAGGATGTTTTTGAACATTCACTGATTCCTTTTTGTGTGACAGGCACTGTTCAAAGTGTTTTGCATGTGTTAAAGCTTTTAATCATTAATTTAACAGCAAG